TGATTCTCTGTCACAATTATAGTTAAAGTGAAGGGCAGCTAGTATTGTCCTGAAAGGAAGTACATTTAACCATTTTAGTTTCTCCTTTTGTTATTTTTAGCTATTGCTGTAAAGGAAGGACAAACTTCAGTGTTTTGTATTGGTGGAGTGCATTTAAACCTATTTTGGAAAAACATCATGTGAAAATGTAGTCTTACCTGCAGAAGCATGAATGAAATGATAAAAGAAAGACATGAAAAGTCTTTTATCTCTTCATTATTTCTTTTCACTAAATTAAATATACATGCTACTGCTCATTTTTCATATGACAAACTTCTTGCAACAAGGTGCAADTCATTGGTAAGGGAGCATCAATGTACAAATACTGTCAACAAACAAGTAACTTACCTACTAAACATGCCCAAATAAGAGARTGACAGCATCTTTGGCGCAAACTGGTTGACCACAGAGTGAAAGCCTTCTAGGGAGCTTGTTTGTGCAATGGGAGAAGCATTTTTGATTGCTTTGCTTAGACTGACTTTGGTGAGTTTTTCAAATATCTTTTCATATGCCTCTGAACCTATGGAAGTGTTATTCAAATTATAGCATGGATAATTTCATCATAAGGTCTATTTAAATTATAGCATGGATAATTTCATCATAAGTTACATTAAAAATAGCATATTTACTTTTAGTGAGCTACACTCTAGGAGTAGCTAGGATTCCATGTGTGCATTTATTGAACAGTTGGTTTGGCAGGCCAGTGTGTTTGTTGATGATGTGATAGAGGAAGGCTTGGAATTTTGCCAACTTGACTGCACCTAAATGCGCTGGTGTTGACATTACTGCCCAATAAAAAATGCCGAACACATGCTTTACGCCAATGACCTATTACTTCACATGATTTTACTTTGGCAAGTTTGGTGATKATTTTCTGTATTTCTAAAAAAACAAGTTTTCATAAATACATGAACAAGAAAAAAGGGGCAACATGTTTTAAGGACATCCATCTCTTTTAACCAATCATTTCCACTAAATAAGTGATATTGTGTATCCTTGTTACAGCTTTTCTCTTGAAAACATGTGATTAGTGGGGGGAATCAAATTTGGCTTGAAATGGAAACAACAGTTAATGCCAACACAATATAGGTATGTGTACTATATAACTACCACATACTTTTTGCTATGTGCCATAAATCAAAGTAATGGCAGATTGTAGGCTTTCCATTGTCTTTGCATAATTTTGGACATTCTTCTTTCATCCATTTGGTGATAGATGTGTGACGGTCTGATATGAACTGTTTTATCAGCATCCCTGTGGTGAGGAGGTACATAATGGACCTTTGGTGGCCAAGGAATTCCATTTGGGAACTGCTTCCAGCTTCATTTGCCTGTAAGAATAAAATCATGAGTCTAATAATAAATGGCCACTAACAGAAAACAAATATTCCCTTTAATATTGTTATTATATTTTTACTATTGTTGTTATTACAGTTAGCTGTACTTACAATAATAACAATGTTATAGTAATAATATTAACAACAATAAGAATTAGAATAAGTGGAACTTAGTAAAAAAAATATAAGCTATATCCCCTCCCCCCAATCTGTCCCTGTAGTTACAAATTATAAATGTGATCAAAATTCACCTGAATGAGAACTATGTTGATGATGAGGCCCAACGTACAACAGAAGATAGTATAAGTGCCATATTTGGCCGAGTGTCCCATGCTATCATGGCGAGCATCTCCTGCCAAATCCACTTCTACCCCATTTAATTTGTCTATTAGACCTTGTTGNCTCAAATATGGCGCTCTTCTATTGCTATTTTTCGCGAATTGATTATTTCTTTTCGGCGACATAGAAGCTGTATCAGAGTTCAAAGTTGAATTTATGTGATCTATGTACGTTGTAGTTTTATATGAAAAACGGCAATTTTTGGGGTCAGTTGTCCTTTAATAGAATGTTTACGGCTGGGAATTTTCCCAATATTAAGGGCTGACTAAGCCAAGTGCTGGTCTTTTTGCATTTACTGCAAAGTGTAGTGACAGTTATCATTGTCCCAGTCTGTTTCGTGGAAATTGATGGCTTGGGGTGACAACACAGGTGGCAAAATTGAAATAACAAGAGCAGGTTAGATAGAAACACAATACACTTTGGTTGCTCTCTACAATCTTTTCCTTCTGTGGTCAATCTAAAGTGGAAAAAAATATATATATATATATAAACACTGTGATGCCTTTTCAAGGTAAAAGCCCTGCCCCCTCCCCCCCCGAAATCATTCTGGGGCTACCATAGAGTTTTGCTTTGAGTGCTTGCATAAAACATTCAGCAACAAGTAAAATTCACAGGATCAGTGCAAGCACTCGAGTATGATTGATGAAAGTTAATACATTTTATATATTATATTATTATGAATGATGTGGTGTATCAACCTTGCTTAGCGCAGTTTGTGCTTGTAGTTACCTGGGGTCAAGATTATCACTCTCGGGGTTACTATATTCTGGATTGTCTTCAGCCAGCTCATTGTACTTGCCATCATTGGCGATGACAGGTTCCTCCTCCATGGCCACTTCATTGTCTTGGTTGAAGACTTTGTTAACTTCCCTCTGTACTTTTTCCTGCCACTCAGGGTCACAGATATCCTCCTCAATGTCCATTTCTTCATCATCAGATTCAGGTTCATGATTGTAATTATCAGTCTGACATCCTATTTTTAAAATGTTGTGCAAAAAAGATAAATAAATTTATATTTCTTTGATATACTTTCATCGTTGTCATTATATCATCATTATTATGTRATATTTATTAATATTTTTTAATGACAATAACCTCTAGCATACCTTGTGAAAACACTGTAGACTTTTTAGTTGCTTGTYCAAGAGCAGCAAGCAGCTGACTTTCTGTTCTCTCCAACTTTTTCACCTGTGTCTTCATGGATTTTAAGTCTGCTTTAAGTTGCAAGACTTCTGTTTGTAAGTACACACATTCCTCACACGATGTGGACTTGCTTGTTGTGCTTGGGACCAGAAGTTCCTAAAAATGATAAGCAAGAATTGATTCAGGCCGTTCATAATAAGTATCACTATAACAGTGTAGCAATGTAGCTGAGCCTTAATATACCTACGCTTTAGTTTTCATTTTTTGTTGTTGCAAAATCAAAAAAGTTATGTATATGATCATTACCTCTTCATGTGTACTCTCAATTCTGGTATTGTTTTCGCAGTCCAACCCGAGGTTTTGTTGYTGTTCATTTTGGGGCGACTCTTGGTCATTTCGGTCTTCAGCTTCGTCCACTTCTAGGTGACTATTAGCAGCCATTTGTTCAGCTTCTTCTTCAACAYTTTTAGCAGGCTGAAGGATGTTTTTGAGGGCCTGAAAAAGACATTCAAAAAATACTTCCATTTTCAACGAGGCCGATTCATTGAAGCAATTGTTCCACAATCAAAATAAAAACGCCGACGAATAATTGTTGCTTTGATATGCCGCACTAGTGAATTTTTGAAACAGCCGCGCGACATGTTTGTCTAGAAATAAGTTTTCTTGTAAAGGCCGTCGTTCACATGTAACGCTTTGATTGGTTTGACGAATAAGCAGATACTTTTTTTTACTTTTGTGACATGTCAAATAAATGTTTCATTTACGGATAATTGATAACGCAAAGAAGAAAAACAAAGTTTTAGTTATACTCACGTGGCGGCGGCTTCTGTCACTGACAGAAGTTTCTTGTTGCTGCTCTGRAAGCCAGATCGTTGGAGTTGCTCTAGGAAGCAAACGTCTTTGCATTCCCTCGATATGTAGTGCCCTTGCGAAAACCTTTTCTTCAAAGTGTAGGGAGCACACAACGAATCTTCCTGGCGGGTTGAAGTTCGCCCGGTGAAGACGCACAAACCTTTTCCATTTGTCGCCGTCTTGCAACGATATACCATTCGATTTGTTGGCGAAATTATTACAACCAAAAACCACACAGCGATTTGCTGGCATTTTACTCGCCGTGAGCTCTCTAGAAATTATTTGTAACTATAACACGAAAGTTTGACAGAGTTTGTATACTGATTAGCCACGAGTGTTTTGGAATGAGTAGAGTAAATGACGTCATAGCCCTCACTCATCCCCAGTCTTCTGAGCCAAATCATTGATCAAGAAAATTAATGGCGGCCGGTAGTAAAAACGCAAAATTTTCAAACTTCCCGTCGGAATATGAAGAAAAAATTTCTACAGGTGATTAATGGGGTAGTATGGATTATTTGGACGAAGTTTCAAGTTTGTACGAAAAGATAGCAATTTTCGTCCAAGGGGCACTTTAAAAGTAACACATGTTTTGTAAGAAACAAATACCACAAAATACTATGTGAAGTTTACAACGTATCAACTCTTTTAGACGAATACGCGAATACTTTACTTAGATAGGCACTCTTAGGCTCAGGTCAAACGTCGAACTTCATATGAGCCGAAATTAATAACATTAAAGGAGACCCCCCTTGTTATCCATTGTTTCAATTTGGTACGGCTCATGTGAATTTCGACGTTTGAGAGCTGAGCCTAAGGTACATAACAATTGGGGACGTAATGTGTATAATACTGAGGGCATTGCCATCTCATTGATATTCGCCGTCTTCAAATGCTGGTTGTTACTTTTAGGTAGTTCAGCTCTCACTAGCCGGGCTATCTTTTCAAGTAAATTGTCACTTTCTATGAGACACTGTGGGACTGAGGATTTGAATAGATTCTACGCAACTCTTAGAATCTAGATTTTTATCGGGAGGTTTTATGGGACCCGATTCCAAACACACACAAAACAATTTTTTTTACGTCACATCCTCGCATTCAGTAGGTAAGTGCCTGATATTGTATTTGCCGTCAAATTTTATTTTATTTTACATCTCAATATTTGAAGCTTTTAAGAAACTAAAAAAATGAATGGCRACCTTTTTTAGTTTCGCACTGCCGTAAAGAGAGGTTCTACTCATTTTTTGTCGACCTTTTTTACAAAATCTTAGTTATCATCAATGAATTCGAATGTAACCTGCAGTGTATCAAGTTTTTCTGAGTTTTGACCACTTCTTTTCAGAGCTTTCAACAACAAAATGCCACATAAATGGCTGGATTTTTTTCAACTGATAAGAACTGATTCAAACCACACAAGTATTTGYTAAAATTTTGTTTGCAAAATACGATAGAGTTTACAAGAACAAATTTGCCACCTTTAGCAACCAGCACTGATCAGTTTTGACGGTCAGATTCTTTTTCAGTGTGACTGCGCCACTGAAAAAGCTAAATGTTTTTGTCGTGCGCATTTCTTGGAGTTTGTCATTACCGGGCTTCCTGTGATGCCTATTTATGAGGGAGAATAGGTACTACCAAATAGTAAAACAAAACATGGCGGAGAAAAGTGACATGACCTTTGGTTACTTTAAGTCTAATAGCCTTCCAATTGAAAAACATAGAGAGGAAATTGTCAGAGCTGTTCAAAACAATGATTTCCTGGTAATTGTTGGGGAAACTGGTAGTGGGAAGACCACACAGCTTTCGCAGTATCTGCACTCTGCTGGGTTTACGAGAAATGGTCAGATTATTGGAATAACGCAGCCTAGGAGAATAGCTGCCATATCTGTAGCTAAAAGAGTTGCAGATGAAGTTAATACGACAATTGGACGTAAGCCCATAAGTAGTCTTTAAGTTCACTTTTCTGTAAGTCTATTCYTCGTTTGCAATCGACGTCATAGCCGCCATGTTGGAAGAATTTGACAAGAGATTTTTCAATTAATTCTTTTGTTATATCTTCCAACATGGTGGACATCCCTTTTGTTATTGTGCTCTCTTGGGATTGATTGCAAACCAAGAATTATCAAAACGTTATCTAAAGTTCCTATCATCTGAATTCCATAATCTTATAAAACTACACAGGTGAAGTAGGCTATCAGGTGAGGTTTGATGACTGTACCAGTGATAAGACCTACATCAAGTACATGACAGATGGGTGTTTGTTAAAAGAGTTTCTTGAAGACTCGACACTATCCAGGTATGCTGCTATTATACTGGATGAAGCTCACGAAAGAAGTCTTGACACAGTGAGTAATTATGCACTTGTCATCGGCTTCCACGAGGGGGGGACCCCTGGCTAGACTCAGGGAAAGTGGGGACTTAGCCTAAAAGCCTTGCCCCAGTACCTGGGGGAATAGTGGTAGATAGATAAAATGTTCTGAAACCCCCTGGAAGCATTGGAGTTCTTTGTAAAGAGCTGTATTTCAGTAAGAGTTTATAGAAAGTTAAGATATTATCAAATGCTCTATTTTGCTATACATGTTACTAAGATCTTGTCTTTCAGTTTGTTTTATGGATTTAGTGTGTGCACTCCACTATTTTGTGTTACTTTTGTGATCTGTTATTTTAACTCCATAACAATTTTGCCTCAGGGGCTGGTGGAATATAGGGGTATTTTCTAAGAAACCTTGCCCCATATCTGGGGGAATACAGATAGCTTTCCACTAGGCTCAAAGCAAAGTCCCCACATTTGCCCGGGGTCTACCCTCTCGTGGAAGCCGATGACAAGTGCATTATGTGAATCTGACCAACATGTATCTGAATAATAATCATAAAACAATACTCCAGCTAATTAACACACCAAACTCAAAACAGCTCTACAGAAAACGTGATTTTTTTATTTACTATATAATAGGGATAATAGGAACTATGCAACAACAGCTGCATGTCTTCAGCTGTGTTAGCATCCATATTGATGGGTTGCAAGCATTCACAAGAGAGTGAAATCCAAAGACATTGTGGCTAAGGAATATCAATCAAGGAATACAACACTTTATCTTAACGGTTTCACTGAGTGTTATTCCATCATTGTTGTTCCTAACAATGTTCATTAATCAATGTTTCTAATAACATCAGTTTAATATATTGATTTGGTTATAAAACATTGGCAATGACAAAATATTGTAAAAAAGATAAAATAATAATAGATGTACAAAAGAAGAGTACTTTTCGACATTTGACTCATGTCATTATCAAGTTAAAAGAAAAACTAGAATAATTTTGAATATGCATAAAATCTAAATACCTAATGGGCAAAAATATAAACAAAGATAAAGTAGATCGTCAAGTGAAGTGTTTCCTGGTACAGAGTCTAATAGAGTGTTTATACTCGTTTTAATGTCTTGAAAGTTCAGTTCGATCATTACTCATCTAAATCTTGAACCATACTGTAACAAAGTGCCTTTTTAAATTGGTATAAACTATAATATACTATAGAGGGATAAATCATCTAATGGTAATGCTTTAATTTAATCCTGATATTACCATGTTGAAATAAATTTATCAGATCATATTATATACTGAAGGCATTGCATTTTACTAATTCCTTAACCCATAGGGGAATTATATAGCAAAACAAAGGCGCACGCGAAAAAAAATGTTCTAGTGCATTTTTAAATGATTTTCTTACCCTTTCACATTACGGAGGACATTATCTTGATCTCGAATTTAGAAAATTAATAGTTTTTTAATTTTTCCGATTTTATTTTCACCATTCACTTTAATCTAAATTGGGCTCCCTGTATTGATAACATTTTGATGTTAGGATATCCTCTTTGGCCTTGTTAAGAAGTTCTTTGTTGGGAAGAAAGGCAGAAAGAATCCCAAAGTCATTGCAATGTCTGCCACGTTAAACCATCAAAAGTTTGCCGAGTTCCTTGGTGCCTGTCCAGTCATTGAGATACCTGGTAGCATATTCTCTGTGAAAGAAATTTACTGTGACTGTGTGACTGTAAGAGATTTGAAAAATCCAAGTTACTTAAATAAGGTATGTATCATATGCATGACTATATAATGTTTTTAGGAAATATCCTCTTCCATGTACTTACAGGGTAATTTATGTACCTTATGACCAGCCGGCACATGTTGGTTAACTGATGCCCCATCGTTGGCTAATGCAAGGTCAACACTTTAACAAAACTTGGCCAACACATCACCAACACAAGTCTATGATCGTTTCTCCTACACATTATTCCACTGTTTTGCCTATTAAAGRAAAAAGCAAAACTACATGGAAAAATCTTGCTGCTTTCTGCATTTCCAGCACTTGTATATTCAGCACCATTGCTGGTTGTAATGCACTTTTTTTCTGAGTCCTCATTCACCAGCTTCTGTACTATACTGCAAGCTGGCCTGGATTGCTGGCATTGAGAGGGGTCAGGGCCAGGGCCAGGGTTTTGTTGTCTTAGTTCTCAGTTGTTCTCTTACATCCCAATTTAATGAGATGGGAGCACCATTTAACGTAGTCCGAGCCCCAAGGGATTTGCAATCCCTAACGTAAAGAGCCAGGTTTTGACACCTCACTTTTGGCATGAGCCAGGGATCAAACCTGGGGCCCTCCATGACAAAGGTGGAGGCGCCAACCACTGCACCACCAAAGCTTTCTTTGGCTTGTAGTTCACTAAATGATAGAATCGCTTTTTATTGTACACTTCTTCTTTTTTGATACTTTATTGTTCAAATTTTAAAAGAAATGGAGCAGCAAATACATGAAAAAAATCATTTCCACCATTTCATTTTCGGTTGACCACCATGTACCGACTAGTCACAAGTACACAATTACCTACTAACAGAATGTATATAAATGATATGGATTTTATAAGTAATGGGTAGTGAAAATGAAATAGCAAGCATACAGGTATAGTTAAAATATGCAATATGCTGGTTTTGTATGAAAAAACTGTAAACCTGGGATGCTTACCATGATTTATAAAGCTATCTGGTTGGTAATTCATTTGCTAATGGTAAGAAAATATAGGGAAAGTTTTTTTCCAACAAATGGTACACACGTCCACCTGAGTCTACTGGAAGAACTGAAAAGAGCAGGAAAATAGGATTACAGACCCAATTTTCTGAAACTTTCCACATACCATTTTGTTTTTTCTGAGTAAATGGTATTAGCTCCTCTGGGTTGCAGCTGGGTTGTACCAGAGGAGCTAAGTTTAGATTAGTTAACTAACAAAACAAAAACAATTCCCACTGATGTATCGAAACCATTGTTTCTGGATATTCTTCAGCTATTGTGCATGCAAGCATAGTGTTACTCATTTATGCTGAATTGCATTGTTACATTGCTAGTGCTTGGTTGTGAAATTTGCTGGGGCTTGGAGTTTCATCATTTAGGACCTAGTAAGAGATACTGTAGGAAAAAAAGGAAACTGGCTGATCGAACTGACTAACAACTAATTTGTTCAATATTTGATGTCTTGTGATTTTGAATATGACATGAATGCAACGAAATGACAAACAAAATTAAAAACTTGAAAAAGCAAAATGTATTAATACCAAATTTGATAAATATTTGAATTGTCTAGTCAGTGAACTAACAGTGGTTATCTTATTACAACTAAAGTAATCTTTCATGATGTGCAATGCATTAATTAATTTGATTTTTAAAATTTTTTTAAGGTTGTAGAAACGGTGATGACAATCCACTCAGAATACCCCCCTGGGGATATTTTAGTTTTCTTGACTGGACAAGAGGAAATAGAGACATGCTGTGACAGACTCTTCTATAAAGCAGAGAAGATTGACTACAACCACGATGTGAAGAGTACTGAGGTGGATGCTATAATTATATTACCTCTGTACGGTTCCATGACAACAGGTACAGACTTATTTATGTAAATGACTAATCTAGAGTCTGTTTATACAAGAAACTACGGGAGTGTTCATTTTTTTAGCTTTTTTGAGTCTGTGTGGGGGGGAGGGGGGTGGTGGAGGAGGGAGGGGGGTTGCTTAACCATTCTGGGCATGGGGGATGGGCAAAAATCTCGATATGCATCCTTAGGGGGGCTATTTGAGTTCAAATATATTTATAGTAGGGCTATGAAAGTTTTCTCTTTTTGAGTGGACCAACTACTGTAATGAAGGATATGTTATAATTTAATTAAAATGGGTCATCTGAATCCCATCAAAGAGCCATTTCATACTGAGCTAAAAATCACTGTGGGTCAACTGAGTCGTAGATATTAAACTTGAACGTTTTGATAGTTTTGGATAATCTTTATTTTAATCATTTCATAAAATAGGGAAAACTCTAAGTTACAGCACATGCAGTGCTAAATCATGCATTCAGTTTGAGCTAGTAGATCATTACACACTGTCTAGAGCACTTGCAATATGATATACAATACAATACAAT